CTACAGGAGAAGGCAGAAGAAAGCGAAACCCTCCATTAACACCTCGTCTGGGTCATGGTCTGACACAAGACACTGGGCAGCACTGCCAGCTTCCTCTCGAGGACTTTATGGGAAGAACGAAGCCTCCGGGGCCATGTGTCTGTGCGCACACCAAACAGAAGACGGAGGTTTCAGGGTGATCACCCCAACTTTTCTACCGACCACTATTCCAGCTAACAAACTGGTCGAAGCTTGTTTCTGGGTTTGCTACAAAATCCCCCTTCCCTTCCCCTTTGGCTATCTTCATAGTGACATTCTCAGTTCACCCGCACCAACAATCGCTAGATCCACATTTTGTCCCCTTCCAGTACGAAAATCACCGCGGTGAGACACAAATATATCGCCCTGGCAGGATCTAGAGGGAAGGAGGTTCTAACAGGAATCACGAAGGAACTATGAGAACCGTGTATTAGATTCAAAGAAGCAGCAGCAGCAGATAGGGGACTGCTCCATCCAGTGGACAGAGGTCTGCTCCATTACAGACCAAGGAGAGTTCTTCCCACTGCACCCGTCACTCAGTGTACGTGACACGCACACAAGAGGACAAGCTGAAAACAAGCCCCTCCCTTCAGCAACCTGGAGAACAGGATCCTTGGGTTCTTCTCTGATCGACTCGAAGCATCCAGAAGAGTGCCTGCTCTATAGTCGGGCTCAATTAATATCTGTGAAATGACTCAAATCAGACCTTACCTAGAGATTATGTAATTTGACTTGGAAACATGCAAATACTAAAACCAAGTGAGCAATGGCTCTCTTTGCATACAATGCATCCCAGCAGCTGGGGGTCTGCTGTAGCAGCTTCTGTTAGAAAAGTAGAGGAGGGGCGCCTGGGTGGCTCAGTGCGTTAAAGCCTCTGCCTTCGGCTCAGGTCATGATCCCAGGGTCCTGGGATCGAGCCCCGCATCGGGCTCTCTGCTCAGCAGGGAGCCTGCTTCTCCCTCTCTCTCTGCTTGCTGCTCTGTCTACTTGTGATCTCTGTCAAATTAAAAAAAAAAAGTAAAATCTTAAAAAAAAAAAGAAAGAAAAGTAGAAGAAACTAACAACTGCTGAGCCCATGGCCAATCCCTGGAGCTGCTTTACCAGAGCTGAGTGAGAAAAGCAGAAATGCGGTTGCCTCTAAGATTTAAACTTTGAGATAAACACATCACGAATCAGAGCACAGACACACCAGAGATAGAAAAGCACATGGATGGGAGGGATCGTCTGGGACAAAGGAAGGACAGAGCAGGCAGGGGCCCTTGCAGGAAATGGCGGGACCTCCGGGAGCCAACTTTAAATGTCCGTGGTTCCTTTGACAAAACCATTCCCAGTGTGAAACGCTCTGCCGAGGGAGCTTAGCATTGTGCCATTCATCTTTTTTATTCTTTATCTTCTTTGGTTTTGATGCTTTTCTTGCAAAACAAACTTCTGACTATACTATGGTAACCCCACAGCTGGCTAGTATGTGGTTGGGTCATGATTAAATTACCTTTTTAAAGGCCCTGATATATGTGGATATTCAACCTCTCCCCACTGTGTCGCCTGCGTTGATTTTGCTTCCAGCATGCTGGTTGTATGGCCTAAATCTACTAAAAACGCCCCAGCAGAATGGCAGTCCGTCAGCCTGGTGCGTATGGTTTTGCCAATGTCCAAAATACACAAAGGGATTTTTAGCAATCTAATCCTGCTAATACACAAAGAGGCTCCTACAGGCTTTTAAAGTGCTGGGAGCCTCTAGACTCCGGAACTCTGGTTTAAAATGTAGAACTCAGCTGGACATTCTTATTTTTTTACCATTCAGAAATTATGGCCCAGTGAAGGGGGGCAGGGGCGGGAATTTAAGATCTCAAACTATGGTCAGTGGGAGGTGTTTCAAGTGAACATAGCTGAGGAGATTTAGAAACTTGGTTTGTAGGTGAATGTCATAAATACAAATGGAATTAAAGCAAAGTAATTTTCTTTTTCTACTTCGATTTGATTTATCCAGGAAAATATTTCAAGAGATGCGTACCTCAGGATCAGAGGCTTCCGCCATAACTAAGAAGCCCTTCTCTGTCAAAATTAATTCAATCACATTGTGTGTATAATGGTCCTAAAAAAAGCCATGAACAACGTGAGCCTGGCCCATCCTTCAGAGTAGTGAGGTATGATGTTCAGTGCCCACAGTGGAGTTTACTTCCTTGAGGTTTAGGCATTTAGAATAATGCCAGCTGGATCCTGGAACAAACTCAGCAAATAAGCAAAATTCCTCAATTATATCAGAAAATCCCAATTAGGGAACAGAGACCTGGATCCAGAACAATATTTTAAGGAAATTAAACATCTAATCTGAGTCAAGTGGCTTCTTTAGGAAATAGCCTGGTGTGAGTCTTATCCTTTTTCTGGCAGAGGCACAGTTTGGCAGACACAAGGGTGGTAACTGCCCAGCACTGCAGATTGAAATCAGATGTAGGCAACCTTCTCAATTTAAGCTGATTCAACACACAGACTAAACCAGGTAATTACAAATGCATGTGCCGGGGAGTGGAAAGAAGGGACGGAATGGGAACTTCTTTATTTTTTAAAGTGTTTTCAAAGATGGGAACAATTTTATAAATAAAAAAGTGGAATGATGCCAAATATAGAAACAGATGTTTTGGATCATGAAGCTGCTGGGAATTGAGCTTTCTTGCCTAGCGTCACTGGGTTCTGACCCAGGATTCAAGAGCTCTGGCTAGTCTCACCTCTATTCCCATTCCGAAGTTGTTCGATTCCATTCACTGACCACCCACTTGCGGGACAAAAACAACCTTGGGCTGTAGGAAAGTACAACAAAGAGCAATTCAAATGAGGGAGTGCGGGCGGGGGAGGGGAAGCTACATATCTTTATTGCTCTTAACAGGGCATCGCAATGTATGTGCAGGGAAATTTAGCGCAAGTATTCCATTTACAAAAAAACTCCAAAGTGCGTATTCCTTTTTAAAAAGCTCATTAGAAAACAGACAAAGCAATTTCTATTAATACATTTCTCCAGTGTGGCTCTCCTGAATTTCCTGTTGGCTCATCCTTACTTGCAAAACTGATGCCTGACCAGGGGCACTGGGCCACTCAACCGTCACACTTCCGGGGACAGAGGAATGTTGTAGAATCTTGTGAGTAACCTAATTTGGATCATTTGAAATTTCTAAGGTTTCTGCTGTGCACAAAGGTGGAAAGTGCAGATTGTGTATAATACCCAGGGATATGTCAATGGTTTAATCTAATAATTTTTCAATTTATGCTTTTTTATAGTCAGGCTATTACTTCCTCATAGTTGTTTCTTTCTTCTTTTCTTTTCGTTTTTCTTTCCTGTCCCTCCCTCCCTTTCTTTCTCCTTCCCACCCTCGCTTCCTTCCTTTTCCTTTCTCCCATCCATCATATAACTCAATTTCCCTCTCAGTCCTGTAAAGAACGATGCTGGCAACTGAATTGCTGTGACATGTAGAAGGCTCAAGAATACTATTTCAGGGGCGCCTGGGTGGCTCAGCGGGTTAAAACCTCTGCCTTCGGCTCGGGTAGTGGCTCGGGTAGTGGTCCCAGGGTCGTCGGATCAAGCCCTGCATCAGGCTCTCCGCTCAGTGGGGAGCCTGCTTCCTCTCTCTCTGCCTGCCTCTCTGCCTACTTGTGATATCTCTCTCTCTGTCAAATAAATAAATAAGAATCTTTAAAAAAAATACTATTTCATAGCAAATTTCATTCCCAAAATCCATGGCACTTTATAGTTTTCCCTTATTTGTGATATTATTATTCCCTTTCTGGCATAAAGAATATTTTTCCCCTGATCTGAAAAATGGGAGTCAGCCATTGACCAAAGTTAAGGCTGTGACTCAGATGAAGAGTATGAGGCTGAATGATTCCCTCCCTTTCGCTAAATGTGCTAATACTACGGACAGAAGGGGAAACAAGGAACTGAAGCTCTGAAATGCTGAAGCTGTGTGTCAAAGATGATTGCTACTTTGTTTCATCCCAGCAATTCTCTTCATCCTTGAGAACAAAATTGTCTCCTTCTTCCTAGTTTAGATGCGTTGAGAATGGTCTTTCCTAGCCCTACCTGGAAAAAAATATATCCTTTCTGGTTCTCACAGCTGGAAATTCTTTTCCAAGAAACAGAACACTTTCTCCTGATTACCTTAAATTTCTCCAGGTCTGTACTCACCTACAATTCTCCAGAAAAACTCTTACATACAAATGAGGCTCAAAGAAGAAAGTCGAATGACTACAATTAAAATTCCCCAAATGTAAAGAACTCTACGACACATGGACTTAAATCCACAGGAAGATCACCTTGTACATTGGCATTGCACCGCACAGTTGAAAACCACTTTTGAATACATTCTGCAGCCTGGGAAACTGAGGCCCAAAGAATAAACAACTCTTACAGGAAATGACCTGCCGAAAGTTCGCAGATACACAGCTGAGGTTTGATTCACCCAGGCCTTTGGAATGCAAATCAAACACATTCCCCAAAGTGCCACACTCTGGCCATTTTGGATTATTTCTTAGAGCCTGTTTGAGCAGGAATAATGTTAGCAGGGTGCTCCGCTCCTGAAAGTGGACAGAAGTTGCTGCAGGAAGCTGGAGCACCGAGGACAAGGTATCATGGTGTGCCATGTAAATGTCTACATCACTTAGTGACCTCAGAACCAGGGCCGAGGTACTTAACGCCTTAAGCGACAGGATCTACAACCAGGATGATGTAATTGCACAGTTGTTTAGGATGACGTCAGTGCCTAGCACAGGGCCCGATGTTCAGGAGGTCCTGAATCAAGTGGCAGAATGTAACAGCCGTTGGCACTGGCTGGAAGAAAACGACGATCTCAATCCTTGCTGGGTGCGATCTTTAGGATTAGAAAGCCCGTGGCCCCGTGCCTCCCCCCACAGGCACTGACAGCTGCATAGAAAAAAACATCAGGGGGTGCCTGGGGGGCTCAGTGGGTTAAGCCTCTGCCTTCAGCCCAGGTCAT